GGCGTGAGGCGGCAGCGGGCCAGGCAGTCTCGGGTTGGTGGCGCGCCGGCGCCTCTCTTCGGGCTTCGTTCCTTCACAGAAGTTTGTGTCCAGGCAGGCGGTGTCATCCGGTTGAGCACGAGACATAGGGGAAATCATTTCTTCCTGCTAGGGGTAGGCAGGTTTGGGATTCGTTCTTGAGGGCTGAATCTACAAGAGGATGGCCTGTCAGGCTTATAGGACGCTGCGGAAGTGGGGTGGGGTTGGGGCGTCGAGGGCGGGGGGTAGCCTGCTTATCTCTTACCTTTCAAATATGTGGCAGTAACTAATGCTTACTTTAGAGCTTATTACCCTGTTTCCCCGAAAGTAAGACATCCCCCGAAAATAAGACCTCCCCAAAAATAAGCACCCCCAAAGCTACCGTGACTCTGGACCATAGTGGTGGGCACCCCCGCGAAGCTCCCTGTTGGCCGCAGCGCAGCCAGAGCAGACAGGAAGTGCGAGGTCTCTTTGAATAAAATAATAAACAATAAATGTGTACCATATTCTTCATGGAAAAATAAGACATCCCCTGAAAATAAGACCTAGCACATTTTTGGGAGCAAAAATTAATGTAAGAGACTGTCTTATTTTCGGGGAAACGGTAGTGGTGCTTAGTGAGGCACCCTGGGCTCCTAGTGGTTATACTTTGGGCTGTGATGCCAAAGGTCAACAGTTCGAAACTACCAGCCCCCTTACAGGAGAAGGTTGGGGCTTTTTACTCCCATAAGGAATTTACAGTCTTGGAAACTCAACAGGATTAGTTCAACCACGACATTTAGGCCCGTTCTGCATGGGGATCGACTAGATGCCAATGAATTTGAGGGATGCCAAGTGGCTGTTTAATCTCATTTAACCCTAACCACAGCTTTAAGAATTAGGCACTAATACTTACCTGGCAGGGGAGATACCATGATCAGGAAGGTGGGTTTCCCAGGCTTATCCATTGCACTCTAGATGTGCTGACCCCTTCGATTTCCCCAAATGTGGGAAACTCGACTGCATAATTTGTGGTAATGAGGGACTGCATTTGCTCACCCCTGTAAAAAAAAAAAAAAAAAGAATTAGGCACTAATAATCACCATTTTACATAAGAAGAGGCTTAAAGAATTTCCCAGATTACAGAGCTATGTGAAATATCTGGGTTTGGAGCCTTGTTCCTATCTGACTCATGACCAGCATTTGGCGTCCTGAGGGGACACTCACCAAAGGGTACCTTGCTGTCCCTGACAACTAGATCCATAGATGGGAGAGTTTTGTGCCCCAGATGTAAGGGACTTATTTTATTAAATGAAACCTTTTTTAAAGCTCTCCAGCCATTTGGCCCTAGTGTTTACCACTCCCCCATTAAAAATGTGTAAACGTATACTTTAATAGAAAATGTTCAGCTCTTAAATGACAGTTGTAGCCCCAAATGAGGTGTTCATCTTTCCAGCCCTTTTTTAAAAAAAAAATCATTTTACTGGAGACTCATACAGCTCTTATCACAATCCGTATATATATATATCAATTATATAAAGCACATTTGTACATTCGTTACACTCATCATTTTCAAAACATTTGCTCTCCACGTAAACCCCTGGCATCAGCTCCTCATTCCCTACCTCTCCCTCCCTGCTCCCCTCTCCCTCAAGAACCCTTGATAATTTATAAATTATTATTTTGTCATATCTTACACTGTCGGATGTCTCCCTTCACCCACTTTTCTGTTGTCCATCCCCCAGGGAGG